CACCGCACTCGTGGTAGGTAAATGTTCATGATTACTGTCTTGTGGATCATTGTCTATCACTGTATTATTGTCACTATCAACTTCATCCAATTCAGGAATTATTATTTTATCGCCACTATCATCATCAGAAAAAATCTCGTTCACCGCATTTTCCAGCTGGTCTGTAGGAACACGAAGATACTTGCTGCAAGAAGCCATGGTGAAACTGAATGAATGTGAAATATTTTCTTACCTTTTGCTTCTCAGAGGGTTCTGACAGTAATATAGACCCCCACAAAGTTTACAAGGTTTCTTTACAAACATGCACAAAAGCTATCATATATATGTCTTTGGTTGATGAGTGCCAAGAGAGCAAAGAAGGGAAGAGATTGTCAAAGCATTAAAACACGCCAACGCCAGGGAACGGCTGGCATCGTCCGGGCGTTAAAACACGCCAGCGCCAGTCAAAGAGTTAATTGATGCTACTAAGGAGGTTGGTCTAGAAGTAAACACAGAGAAAACTATGTATATGTTGTTCTCTCATCACCAGAATGCAGGGAAAATTCATACATAAAGATAGATAGCAGATCCTTTGCAAATGAGGCACAGTTCAAATTTCTGGAAATGACAGTAACAAATCAAAACTGGATTTAGGAGGAAATTAAGAGGAGATTGAATTCTGATAATACTTGCTACCGTTCAGTCCAGAACCTTTTGTCCTTTTGTCTGCTGTCTAAAAACATAAAAATTAGAATATCCAAAACTGTAATTTTTCCTGTGGTTCTGTATGGGTGTGAAACTTGGTCTTTGACATTAAGGGAGTAACATAGACTGAAGGTGTTTGAGAATAGAGTGTTAAGAATTTTTGGATCAAAGAGAGATGAAGTGATGGCAGGTTGGAGAAAACTGTATAATGAGGAGCTTCATAACTTGTACTCTTCTCGAAGTATAATTAAAATGCTTACGTTGAGTATGAGATGAGCAGAGCATATAGCATGAATGGGGGAGAAGAGGAATGCGTATAGGATATTGGTGGTAAATAGTCCTACCCCCAATTGTAGCTGGTTTTTATTTAATTTTAAGAGCTCATTTGTTGTTTTGGCATAGGGTCCTTGTATAAGTCCTTTTACCTGTTTGAGTCCAGTTAAGGATTCCCAGTACTTTTGATGATTTCTGTTTGACCAGTCCCTGATAACTTTCTTGGGAACTCCTACTGAGATGGTGCAAGCTGGTTCAGGTCTTATGAACAGTTGTTTAGATCTTGTTTTTGCTAGTTGATCTGCTGTTTCATTACCCTCATGACCTGGCACCCATGTCAGTTAAACTGTGTTATGTCTGGCCAGTTGCATAAGGGGCTGATGGCAGTCCCAGACCAGTTTTGAGATGATCTGGTAGTTGCCAAGTGCTTTAATTGCAGCTTGGCTGTCTGTTAGAATGTAGATACTGTGTTCTTTTTTCATGTCGTTTCCATTGACCACTGCAATAGAGTCTGTAAACTCATGCTTTGGCCTTTGCGTCTAACTGCAGGACTACCATTGCAGCTGTTGGAGTTGTACTCATTGCTCCTATAATACCCAAGCAGGCCATCCTTTGCAATTTGCTAAGTTCTGCCTTTCTTTTTTGAATTGAACACCAGGCCACCACACAGTGGCAGCATAGGTAACTATGGGTCTTAAAACCACAGTGTATATCCAGTATATCACCTTTGTTTTAGTTCCCAAGTTTTCCCAAACATCCCTCTGCACGTCCAGAAGGTCTTGTAGGCCTTGTTGATGACCTTGTTTGGCTGCTTTTTCCATGTCAGTCCCTTGTCTAACATTAGTCCAAGGTACTTGACCGCACTGGATAGCTGGATCGTTTTGTCGAAGAGGATTGCTTCCTTAAGTCCCTTTATATTCCTCTTCCTGGTGAAAGGTATATTTACTGTCTTATTGGCATTGATGGACAGATTTGTTCTTTCACACCACTGTTGGACTGTGCACAGAGTTGTTTCTAAAACCTCTGACACAGTTTGAAAGAAGTTTCTATTGATAAGGATTGCTATATCATCAGCATATCCTATTGTATGTTAACCATTATTGTTGAGCCCCAAAAGATCATCATTCATGACCCAACTCACAGCAGAGGCAAAAGCACACCTCCCCATGGACACTCTCTGGCCTTGGATGCCCCAAGAGTGTCTACTGACAATGTAGCAGTTACGTTCCTGCTTTCTAGTATAGCACAGATCTATTTGCATATTGCGGCCTCAATGCAACAGCCTGTTTTATTGTATCAAATGAGGTTCTATTGAAAGCTCCCTCTATGTTAAGGAATGCTCGTAGGGCAACAACCTTGTGTTCAATAGCACTTTCTATGCATGTTACCACATTACGAAGTGCAGTTTCAGTGGATTTACCTATTTGGTAAGCATGTTGGTTTTTGATATAGAGGATACGTCTTTTATGCACTGTCTCTAATATGCCTATCTACTAATTTCTCAATCGTTTTTGAAAGGAAGGATGAAAGGCTAATAGTACGATAAGCCCTAGCCTCAATATAAGCATGTTTCACAGGCTTTTAAGGTAGAAGGAAAAGCTGCACAAGTTTTGAATTTTCAAGATTTTATCAAGAAAATAAATATCTAAATTTAAACACAGATTAATCAGTCTTGAACGTGAGGATTTTCAGATAATTGCTCATGCTTTTTCAGTAGCATTCAAAGTACTCGATTCATCATAAACGTACTGGTTGTTAATGCTGATAGAAATTAGCTGGCCAGTATAATCTCTTTTGCTCTCCCCTTTTCTGGTGAGAAGGATATTTCCCATAATTATTCTTTTATTGCCATGATTTATGTATTTTTTTAATTAAAAATGTTCTGCTGTCAAGAAGGGTATAAATAGTACACTTCAGTGCACTGTAAAAAGTGGCTAGTACTGTAAATTATGATCAGAGTGAAGAAGTTGGTCTAATAGAAAAATTGTGTTCTAGTCTCAGGTCTCAAAATTTCTTCAGATTCTTGTCTTAATTACTTCTTAATTTGGAGAAATGACTCATGCACATGCTCGAGGAAAAGATGTGACAGGGTCAAAATTGAATGGCATTTAGCTTTCCATGTTTTATAGGGCCAGAAGGGAGTCAGACTGATGTACCATCATAAACAAAAGTAGTTAGTTAGTTAGTTAGTTAGTTAGTTATTGGAGAGGGTGGGTTTCCCCATGCACTTAGACCAGTATTGGTCCATTGTGCTTCCCTCTATTATATTCTACCAGTCTCTATACCCTACCGATATTGGTGCGTGCCATCAGTCCTGACCGAGCCAGCGAGTTCTGCCTCTACTGGCTTGGCGGTATCTATAATGCTTCCCCCATCTATCAGAGGCGTTAGAGACTACTGTTGGGCGGGAAATGTCCTTGAATTTGGCTCAGTAACCTCGTTTGGAGATATGAGGTTCTTTTACGTGCCATAAAGCTACGACACGGGACCCACGGCTTAAAGTCCCTCCCGGAGGGCTTGTTCCCTGAATTTTTCCGCCCTAAAAAATTCCACGACCTCCGCCGGGTTTGAACTCGCGTACCACGAGTCATGAGGTGGGAACGTTACCCCTAGATTATGGAGGCCGCTATAAACAAAAGTGACTCCTTGGGAGTTCTGTCTTCTGGATATAATGCCATGTGGTCCATTGGAAGTCAATTGAGTGATATTTTGGAGCAAGCTATCCACATTATGCCAGTTTCTTGCTCAGCCTACTCTTCAATTCTCACAATGAAGGTGACATGTTCCTCTGAAACGTCAGTTGTCTTTTAGTAGACTACACAGCATTATATCCCAGTAGAGAGAGATCACTGCTGTGACAGTCTTAAATTCTACATAAAAAGTAATTACTTTTTGTTTTCCCAGTCATAGTTTATGAGAAAATATTAAGTCAGTGGGACAGTATCCTGACATGAACCATTGCACAAATGGCTCACAACTGTCATTCTGTTTGAAATCAGTCTTATATATAACCACTTTTGTAAAATATAAATCTTATGGATATATTTTATGTCTAGGGTCCTGTTTTGGTTGGTCAGCCAGCAACTTCCCAAGAGGGCAGTGCTGCAGGACAGTTACGATTGATGACAGCTCAGCATCATGCACAACAACATCAGCCACCACCTGGAATTCTTCAATCTCCAACTCGACCAGTTACTGCTTCACACATTCCACCTGATCAGCTTCTCACATACCAGGTATGTTACACAGCAAACATGAAAATGTAATGCTTATCACTCTTGTATTCAGACAAATGCCAAGATGTCAGAAAACAAACAGTGGCCTCCTTTTCTTGCCTACTGCAACCCACCATTGATAGACAGACTTCCTTTTTCATTCAACAGTGAGCTTATTGGCATAATGGCAGGAAGTGTGGTTTTCATTTGTGAGGTGCCCATTTAAATTTGTTTCTGAAATAAAGAAACATCAGAACCAGTGAGATCTGGGATTCTCAGAACAATGCATATTAAATTATGACCTTCAGGGATGTGGTTTTATGTAATTTAGTGTATAGGTACCAAGGATTCAAGGAATCTGCTGCCTCCATCTTTAGGGCAGAAGAAGTGAGCCATGAAGATGGAGGCAGCAGGTTCCTCTGAAATATTGGTATACCATACTACATGGTGTCAGATCCCAGAAGACTGTATTCTTAAGACCAGTGAATTATGAAAATTGTAACACATTTAGTTTTCTGTTTTTTCCTAATGAAGTTTTTAATATATTAGTTCATATTGTAAAATTATTGCTGTAATTGTGCAGTTTGTTTTATTTTCCAGAAAGTTGTCTTATTTTATTTCTTGATGGATGGAATATACATTTCTTCCATTTTTATTTCCATAGCAACAAAGGCGTACACTGGGCAACATAACAAATGCCACGGGTGCTGCCAGTGGTGGAAGCTCTCCAGTTCGCCCTCCTGGCATGGTGGTAGCTAATTCAGGGGCACCCCATGGTGGTGGAGGAGTCTTGCAGCAACAGTCACCACCAGTAGGCGTTGTGGTAGGGGCACCTGGTGTAGGAGCAGCTGTGGCCAAGTCTCCCTACAATCAGACTGCTGCAACAGCTGCTAGGGTGGCTGCAGCATTAGCTAAATCAGCACAGAGTGTGGGGCAGGTCCAGCAGCAACCAAGAGCTCAGTTTTATGGGCATAACCCCAACTTGAAATGTGAGTACTGTGTGTTCTGACAGATGATTGTATTCAACAAATACAGTATGCACCAAAATATGCAGTGATTAAAATTTGCGCATCTCGAACATGCATGTGCATTTGTTGACAGGGCATAGCTCCAGCCTCACGTGTTCCCAGTAGTGAAAAGGAAGTTGTGTTTTGCAGTTGTTGGAAATGGGTCTCGACTTAGGAAAAAGTATTCATAGTTGAGTATTATTTCCGCTCATATGGAAGTGGTCACCAGACAACTTGCTTCCTTGGTTTTGAGCGGTCACACGTTATCGTCCAGAAACCGCTACATAGTACACGTGTGACAATATGGTGTGCCATCTCAGCACACAGTATATTAGGCCTCTATTCCATTGAGGATGAGGAAGGCAATGCTCTTATCATCCCCAAGAATGCTACAGGGACATGGTGATTAGACCATTTATTCAGGATTTGAGAAGGTTCTGTCATGCAAGGGGCCTGCATACTCCTGGTATCAGACAGCTCTGCTCCACTTTTTGGACACTCAGGCAGCGTCGATATACAAAAAGTGTCTCGGTGACGCCCGGGTGGGGTATATATCTAGTCCAGGTAGAGCGTTACCCTTCTGAAGTAATGGTAGTGTCATTCGTTGCATCATCCTCATGAGTTTTTGGAGGGTCCACAGCTGTTTTGTTCTTAGATAAAAGCAAGCATTTTTTCTTGTGACAGCACAGGTGAAGCACCAAACTCTAATCTTTTGATCCTTCCTGAAGTTAATCTCTTGATACTTTGTGTTGGTACAGTTGTTTCCTCATATTATGTATCCATAAGGTACAGTCTTTTCCTACAATATACCATATAACATATTATATCAATTACCTTATAAAACAGTTATAAAACTGTTCATTACATACTATGTATCTCCATATACCACACAGATATTAACATATACAACAGTTTATAGTAAGCATCACCATACCTTATACAACAATCTATACCCGGGGTCACCATATACAACAATGCCGCCTGAGAGTTTTGATTAGCCAGTAATATTGACACACCGTTAGTGCTTTATTTATACTGTAGTGCAGCAGTTGGTATGTAGCAGTAATTCATTCAGTTTCATTAAATATATGCTGTGTTTTAAAAAAAAGTTCAAATGAAAATTATGCAGTCATGTACCTGTTATCAGCAGAACATATTTTCCTTTGCTGAAAACCATGAAGTGCATTCAGCCAGATATGCAGAATGAGAAATTCAGCAGCAAAAGAATTAATTCAAAAACACTGTCTTATATGAATTGAGTGCTAATGTTGAAAATTTATATGTATTTATTTCTACTAGGATGGAACTGTGCAGTGATGAAAGAATTCTGAAAATCTGGTGTTACTAACTGACATGCAATTAACTGACTTACAATGTAACCACGATAGAATGAATATGGCTTGTAATGAGATTTTCATGATGACAAAAAATCATCAGCACCTTCAGTTTCTTAATGTTATTTATACAGAAAAGTCTTGAATGTAATGAGGACTTTCTGATGCACTTTTGTTATGGTAAGAAATTCACAAAGAGCTGTTATCCTTTTTCATAATCTTCTGCACTGACTGCACTTACAATTTTGCTTCCTGCATTGTATAGTAGGCAGTCTGTAAAGGTGCTGGTAACCCTCCCCCTTGGCTTCATCTTTATCTAGGGGAGGAGAAACTGAATGCTATGCATCTTAATACAGAATTTTCTCAATCTTGAGGTGGACAGATGCATGTAGTGTGCATGTGCAGAGCTACTGTAATACACAGTCGAAAATAATGACCGACTCCTCAAAATGTTATAGTGTCACAGTAGGGGACAGAGTTTTTAGGACCACAGTCCAGTTTGATGCCGTGAATTCTCCCCAAGCCATTGACAAATATCTGTGGGAACTACCCACATTCAAGCAAGTGTGACAACGCAAGCGTCATTGCTTAGCAACAACGAGTAAACAACGGTTGCTAGGCAAAAGCGAGTAAACAGCGGTTGCTAGGGAACTTGTAAACATGGTATCTGGCAACAGCAGTACCTATTACGTAACAGTTGTTTACTCGCTTTTGCCTAGCAACCGTTGTTTACTCGTTGTTGCTAAGCAATGATGCTTGCGTTGTCACACTTGCTTGAATGTGGGCAGTTCCCACATATCCATTACCAGACATCATTTGAATTTCTCTTCAGTCCAGTAGCTTGCTTCATCATATATCATGTTGCATAGCTAATGATGGGAGTTGAAATGTTTATTTTGGTTATGTTGCAAGTTCGTTAAACGAAGAAGTGTTCAACCCTAATTGTGGCAAAAGGACTGAAATGCTTAGACTTGAATGTAAAGCCTGAAGTGAGAAGTCGGCAGTTTGTCAAAGAGTGAAATAGGAAGACAGTACAGATTGATTTCTGAGATACTGTAAAACAATAAGTATTCCTGTACCTGCATTAAGTCATTTTAAGCCCTAGTGCTCTGCTATGATATGGAAATATTATAAATTCTTATTTTCTGACAGTGAAAGGGTTAGTGATATATAAGTTTTATGTCACCAGTTTTATATGCAGTGGTGTGTTTTTGAGAAGTTTGGTAGCATTTGTTGTGCATTTCCTTGGTTTCATTTGACTGATACATATAAAATATAATTTCACCTTACAACTTTTAGTGTCACTTCACAATTACAAATTCCAGCAAAATCTGCAGGTAGTTTTGGAGATGAAGCATAATAGTAGACAAACATACAAACACAGTTTTCTCATTATTCATTTGCATTGTTCACTTTTTGCAGAGAACAGGAAATGTATATGAACACAATATGGATAATAAAATTTGCCTTTGTTGTGGATTATTTGTGTATTTCTGTTTTACAGTGCCGCCAGACCTTTTCCTGTTGGGTTGCATCTTCATGATCGTGGATTATGATTCTAGTATGCCCGAAGAAGTTATGATGTGGCAGCGTATCATTGCCTCCAGTGGTGGTGAGGTTGAGACAGTATATGGGCCCCGAGTGACACATGTTCTAAGTGAGACACAAAAGTCTGCAACATTCCAGCGGGTAACTAGGACTATGAGTTTGTTATCTTTAACCATATATTTTTTTTGAATACATTATATCGTGACATGACTTCTGACTGGTGTCAGAGGTATGATAGAATTGACTGACTGGATTGGTTTGAGTTAATGAGTTGGTAGATTCTCAAGATGAACCCATTGTGGCAGTTCATTAAGGATGGCATGGATCAGTTGAGCAGCGAGTTCACTGCCCAAGATCACATGGTGACCATAATAAATGCCAACAAAAGGAAGATGGAGGCCAGTCAAGAAAATTTAGGTGCCAATATGGAGACCAATCAAAAGATAAATCAAGAGAAGATGGAAGCCAGGATGGACACTGTCCATCTTTTCCAAGAAAAGATGGAAGCCACAATAAGCTCCATCTGGTCTGAGCTAGAAGAGACCATCAAAAATTGGTTGGAGAATGACCTGGCATCTGTTGATCAATTGATCCAGAGCTCAGTGAGGAACTTGTTATGAAGGTGGAAGAAATGCAGCTGGGCTTATAAGCAGAGATGACATCCTTTGATACGTGGACTAAGAACCTCTGCAAGGAATACATCGTGGAGATCCAAGAGACAGGAATCGACATACAAAACACGAAGACCCTCATAGAAACCATGCAGCATGGACCTGAGACCAGATTAGCAGATGTTGATACCTGAGCTAAGCATGGACCTATCAACAGTACATGAACTGATGTAGGTGGAGTCAAGCCACCCAAATTCAATGGGTCAGCATGTTTCAGTGTTGCTTTGAGGTTGTGGCACAGTACAACTGGCTACGACACAAAAAGAATCCACATACCTGCGTGCCATTCTGGAGGGCTGGGCTGCCAAAGTTCTACATGGTGTCTGTACAGGAGCAACATATGAGAAGACTACTGGTGCAATTGAAGACTGCTGTGGGTGACCACCACCTGGTTGCAGAGTACTGCTGTCAGCTGAAAACAAGTACCCAAGTCTCTGGTGAGTCCTTGTGATCGTTTGCCACTGCCAGTGAACAGTTGACTCACTGCACCCTTCCTGGAATACATGAGGACCATGTCTGCAGGGGGCTGGTCACGGTAGCCGAGCGGTCTAAGGCATGCACTGTCTTCGCTCGCTCGGAAGCCGGGATCGTGGGTTCGAATCCTCCTCAGGGCATGGATGTTTAGTTTGTGTGTGTGCGTTTTTCTGTGTTTGTCTACAGGTAGAGGCCTTGCGACGAGCTGATCACTCGCCCAAGGAGTCCTACCGTATGTGTAAGATCTAGAAAAACCAAAGTGAACGGAGAAGTTCATGGAGGTAGGCCTAGGCCCACTGGGGCTGTAGTGCCAAAGAAAAAAAAATGTCTGCAGGAAGCAGGCAAGGAATTTTTTGACAGGATAAGAGACCAAGGCATAAAATAGCAACTACAGTCAACTCTCGATTATCCGGGGGCGGATTAACCGGTTTGCGGCTTAACCGGGGCTTTTTTTTTTAAGTTTATATGTTGTTTAATATTCATTCACTTTTGTTTCACATGGTGAGTTTAACACTATTTTCGCACTAGTGTGAACCGAGCTCTGCATTATTTCGTCCCGTTATGCGAACACAATGTTCTAGGGTGGGGGTGAAAGAATGCAAGAATTTTTGGAAAGTTTCAAGGACAAATACACCGCCCCAGGTTATTTAACGGTACCATCTCAGTGTGAGAGTGCATTGTGAAAGTAAGTATCAGTTTCTTAATATAGATCTTCAAGTGCGTTAGCAAAATGTCGGGGTTTAAAAGGAAGCGTGTTGTGTTAAGTATTCAACAGAAACTTGAAATTATCAATCAGCTGGAAAAAGGAGCTGTAGTTAAACAATTAGCAATGCAATACGGTATTGGAGAACAAACTGTTCGTGATTTGAAAAAACAAAAGAATGAGTTAATTTCCTTTGCTTCGTCTTCTAATTCAAGCGGAATGAAGAAGAGAAAAACCATGAAGAAATCAACATACGATGATCTCGACAAAGCGATGCTGACCTGGTTTAATCAACTAAGGGCACAGGGAACAACAATAACAGGACCAGTTTGTGCTAAACAAGCTAAATATTTTTTCGAAGCACTTGAACTAGAAGGGAGTTTTGACGCTTCTTCCGGTTGGCTAACACGTTTCAAGCAGCGTCATGGAATACGAGAAATCAGTATTCAAGGTGAGAAATTGTCAGGGGACTTGTCAGCATCAGATCAATTTTGCACCAATTTTGATAGTTTTGTGAAAAGTGAAAATCTGCTGCCAGAACAAATCTATAATGCCGATGAAACGGGTCTTTATTGGAAATGCTTGCCAACCAGAACATTGGCATTTCAAAATGAAAGACAGGCTCCAGGTCACAAATCCAGTAAGGAGAGATTGACAGTCTTGTGCTGTTCTAATGCATCAGGAACACACAAACTAATACCAGTAGTTATCGGCAAAGCGAAAAGACCACGCTCTTTTAAAGGAACAGTAGCTTCAAGTCTGCCTATCCATTATTTTAACCAGAAAGTAGCTTGGATGAATAGAGCGATATTTAAAGAATGGTTTGATTTTAAATTCGTGCCTCAAGTTCGTGACCATCTAAAATCCCAAGGCCTACCTGAGAAAGCTGTGCTCCTCATTGACAATGCGCCCTCACATCCTAACGAAAGTCTCCTGAGGTCAGATGATGGAAATATTTTTGTGAAATATTTTCCCGCTAATGTTACCGCACTTATCCAACCAATGGATCAAGGAGTTATCTCAAGTATGAAGAGAATCTACAGATCAAATTTGCTACAAAAGTACATCGATGAAGGCAATGATCTGACGTGTTTCTGGAAGTCCTTTTCAGTATTAGATGCCATATACGAGATTTCAACAGCGTGGGATACAGTAAAGCCATCTGTATTGAAAAATTCATGGAAGAAACTGATGCCTTTCATCACTAATGAAGATGACGAAATCCATGGATTCACTGGATTCAGTGAAAATGAGATAGCCATAAAATTGACAAAAGTGGCTAACCAAGTTCATGGTGGTGAAGAAGTCAACGAGGAAAATATAAGAGAGTGGTTTAACTGTGACTCGTGTGAACCGGGCTTCGAAATGTTAAGCAGTGACGAAATCGTAACTTCAATGGGGGTGCAGCCAGAAGAGCGGGAAGAAAGTGAGAATGAGGAAGAGGTGGACAGTGTTGCCAGTAAGAAAGTATCACATGGTGCTGCGCTTAATCATTTGGAATCCTTACTAGACTATCTTGAGAGTGAAGAGGACAGTTTATTAAGTGACAAGCTAATATTACGTAGGCTTCGTACGGATATCCGTAAAAAGGAAAATGCCGCGAAAAAGCAAAAGACAGTATTAAATTATTTTAAGTGTTAAGTGTGACCGTAAAAAGTGCTGGATGTTGTTGAACAGTGATTGAAATAACTAATTCATACTGAGTGTAATGTAAAGAAAGTATTAAATAGGCCATGAGATGACATAGAAATGAGGATGAATAAATTTAAATACAGGTAGGTCTATAGTATTATGAAGGTATTAAAAGGTAAAAGGTAAAGTTGTTCCTCTGCTCAACGAATTAAGCCCTACGCCATTAAGGCGTGTGGGGGAGTGGATGTATAGATCCAAATTTTCTTGACCTCGGCACTAGTTGGAGGTGAGTGGTCAGCTTCACGCCCCGGCCGCTTTACCCCCGGGGAAAGAGCCCCCGGTACCCATTGGATAGGAGGTTGGATGGACCCCAGAGCCGGTCTGGACGATTTGGAGAAGTTAAAATTCTTGACCCTACCGGGACTCGAACTCCGACCCTTCACAGTCGTCCAGCCCGTATAATAAAATTTGGCTTAACCGGGTTTTCGATTAACCGTGACTTCCATCCCCACCATTAGCCCGGATAATCGAGAGTTGACTGTACTACTGTGAGGTGAGAGAACGCTCAGCACGACCCTCAGACGGGGCGTAGAGTTGGAGGCAATGAAGACAGCAGCCAGGTTGCCCATCATGCCCTGGAAGACAACTGCCAGAACATTCTTCTCAGGGGTCGCTCCCTCCCCCCACACTGAATGTAGGTGGTACCAACAGCTTATGTGCTGCTGCTGTAGGAGCACAGGTCACTTTTGAGAAGACTGCCTTCATGAATTCGATGATGAAGATGACCGACACGTGGGAGGAGACTACAGATGCTTGAGAAATAAATGAGAGAAATGACTGATATTTGAGGAACAAATGGAAGTCGATGAGGAGAGATGACTGACTGTCATTTGCAAAATGAGTGACTGCTGGCATCCCCACTCCTGCCCCCTTTCTTCACACCTGTTTGTCATGATCATGAGTGGCCACACATTGTGGGAACAACTGCACAACTTCCAGAAGATATTCCAGTGGTTTTGAGAGGCCCACCTAAAGCTCAGCATGGAAAAGTACCAGCTTTCGGAAGGAAGTGTGGTTGCCAGGGGAAGTAACCACAGTCTCCGAGAAACTGAAGACCGACCATACAGAGAAACAAGTGCAAACCAAAGAGTTTCCCGGGTGTATGTACATAATAAAAGAGGTTTATCTTGGGGTTTTCAGGCACTGTGAAGCTACTGACCAAACTCACAGAGGAGAAGCAGGCCTGTCAGTAGTTCTCAGAAGTAGAAGCCACCTTCTAGCTATTAAAGGAGGTCCTCTGTACCACACCCATCCTTGTTTACCCACAAACAGGACTTCTTCCAACACTTGACTTCCTGAATGTAGTAAAGTGTCCCTTGGATCTGCATGTTGAATTCTTTACAAATGCTCTGGGTTCGCATATCAAGGGATGTTGTCACCGCTTGTAAGTTCAGCTGCATTTCTTCAATCTTAGTGTTGAGTTCCTCATGGAGAACCTTTTTCTATCTTGCTACTTAGTTCCTGGCAGAGGCTTTGGGTCCATTGGTCAATAGATACCAGGATGCCCAAAACCAGCTTGTTGATGATCTCTTTTAATTTGGACTGAATGGACTGAATTGTGGCGCTCATGTCATCTTGGAAAGCATTCATCTTGGCTCAGTTTTTTTCCTGGCTGGACTTCACTGTGGCAACCATCCTCTCATGAATGGCATAGTCCATCTTGATTTCCATTTTTTCTTGATTGACCTTCATTTTTCTTTATTGCCCTCCATCTTGGCTGTCTTCCATCTTTGTTTTTTTGGCTAGCCTTCATCACCTTTTGAATGATTCTTATTTCACCCAGCAGGCATTCTGTAATTTTCTCCATTCTTGTAGTGTAATGATGTAACTTAAAATCTAATGGAGTCCAACAATTCAATCTGAACAAATCAATTCTATCCCACTTCTGACACCAGGTCTTATGTGTTAGTGACAAGACGCAGGTTTTCGTTTGCATATTGAATTTATTGAATACTTTTTATGTGTATCTATAGCTTGTTGCAGGACTTTCACAATGCTGCACACTCTGCAGGTACGTATTTTTGTATATCATAACACTTTTTTCCTCATTGCTTGTTTCGTTAACAGGTCACCAGAGTTTACTTTCTGAATAGCCTTTGTATATTGTGCTTGTTACTCAGTCTTAACTGATATTGAATATCCAGTGAAACATTCTGTCATGTAGGCACTCAGAGAAGGAAAGCGCTGTGTGACAGCATACTGGCTGAATGACGTAGTCCTGAAGCAACAGGTGCTTCCACCATGGCAGGCACTTCACTTTCCTACACCTTTCAGGTACCTACAAATACATTAATTCTGCAGTAGAATGAGAATGTAAATACGAGAGAATGAACACAGGGTGGTACTGAATGGTCTAAATCAAGTATTTGTGTATAATGATAATACTGCGGGAGAAAATGTGTCATGAAGAATGTCATTGATTTTTTTACTCTGTAATACAGAATTTAGTATAGGAATCTGTGCAGATAAAATCAGGAACAGAAACAAGGTCATGCATAATGGTGGCTGAGATATACAGTGGAAACTTAATATTATGAGAATTTAGAGAATTTGTAAAAATGACCTTATATTTATAATATTTGAAATGTGTTACTGTAATTCCTTGAGGCACTATGCTACAAGCTGGAAGGTCGTGGGATTGAATCGCGATGAGGTGGATCTTTTCAATTGACCTCATCCTTCATGCTGCACTATGGCCCTGGGATCGACTCAGCCTCTAACAGAAATGAGTACCAGGAATATTCTTGAGGGTAAATTGCCGCCGGCGCATAAGACTGACAACTTTACTGGCATCTGTGTCTAGAAGATATGGGAACCTCGACGTCTCACAAACCTGTGGGCCTCCATGGCCTGTTATAGGGACAGCTTTACTTTTTTTTAACTGTAATTCCATCCCATAATTATGATTTGTGGCCATGCAATCTGAGGCATGAAATGTCCTTGCCCACTCAAACACTGGGATCATGGGTTCTAGTCCTGCTTAAGGTATGGATATCTGTCTGTGTTTGTTTTGTGTTTATGCTGTCCTGTATAGATAGGGGCCTTGTGATGGGCTGATCCTCTGTCCAGGGAGTCCTACTTACTGTGAATAAGATTAAGAAACTGAAAGAAGCAGTCAGGGCCCAAACTGGGCTGTAGAGCCATTAGTAGTAATGGTATAGTACAGTATGGCACTAGGGTTTAAGTAATGATGTGGGTACAGCAATATTTCTTCATAGTTTATTCTGAACTTGTGGTGTTATTATATACATTAGATCAAAGAGGTTGCAGTAGGTCAGACATATGTGGTAGCTTGAGGAAAAGCCAGAAACACACACAAATTTAGATGGGGAAACCTCTTGGATAGGATCTTCTTTGAAAAATGAAGTGTTAATGGGAGAATAATATGAAAGTGAATATGCAAGAAATAGGTTTCATTAGCATGAATTTGATTAAAATGGTTCATTATTGGGTTCACTGGTAGGCATTTTTATTAGTGCTGCTAAATATTTATGCTCTGATAGTATACAATAATATTTATTGGCCCAAATGTCGATTTCTGGTTTGTATGAGATTTTATCAAATTTCATGAGTGAATTAACTGATCCTTGACTGGAAGTAATACACCGCTGTTCAAAAAGTATCCGACTTAATTTTTTGCCGCTGTAAGTAATGGCCAAAGGGGTGGGGAAACTGAACGTAGTGGTAGAAGGGACTTTCAGGTGCATGCGTGATTTTTTGTTGACTCACAACACCGCTGGATACGTCTGTGGCTGCCAGATAGTGAAGTGGTATAATATGTGTTCGTCGTGTTCTCGTTTTGCTCAAGATGACAGAATGCTTGGAGAAGCGATATTACATCAAGTTTTGTCAGAAACTTGGGGATACCCAAGTGGAAACAATCTGCAAAATTCAGCAGGTTTTTTGGTGATGATGTAATGGGGGACACTCAAATTAAAGAGTGGTTCAACTGCTTTAAAGATGGTCGTATGTCAGCGGACAGTTACCAGCATTCCGGGAGACTGTTAATGAGCCAAAATGCTGGTGTCATTGAAAAAGTGTGGACACTAATCATGGAGGACCATAGGTCGTGCCATAACTCAAGTGGTTGGTCGCTGGCTTCCCGCCGTGGCGGCCTGAGTTCCAATCTGGGTCTGGTCAAGTGGGATTTGTGGTGGATAAAGTGGCATTGGGGTAGGTTTTCTCTGAGTACTTCGGTTTCCCCTGCCAATCTTCATTCCACCAAAAATTCTCCATCATCGTAATAACCTGGGCCAGGTACAATAGGCCAATCAGTGGCCGTCATGCCTAGTGGATCCAGCTTGACTCCACTCCCCACTATGTGAAAATGGATGACTGTTGTTTGACCACCTGGGAAGTTGCTGATGAGGTTGGGATCAGCAGAGGTTCTGCAAACACAGTTTTAACTGAGGATTTGGGCATGCAAAGAGTGGCGGCAAAATTTGTGCCCAAGCTGCTTTCGCCGGAGCAGCAACAACTCCGCCTTGAGGTCGTGCAGGACATGCTGTAGTGTGCTAACAGGGATCCTGAGTTCTTGAAGACTAATCACTGGTGACGAGTCGTGGATGTATGGATATGACAAGGTCCGGGCGTCATGATGGAAGCATCCAACATCCCCGAGGTCCAAAAGAGCACAACAGGTTCGGAGCAATGTGAAGGTGATACTGACTGTTTTTTTTTTTCGATTACCGGGGTGTTGTGCATAATTAATATGCCCCACTAGGCCAAACTGTCAATAAGGAGTACTACCAAGAAGCCCTCTGCCATCTTCGTGATGCAGTTCGGCGCAAGAGACCGGAGTTGTAGGATGCACACAACTGACAGCTGCATCATGACAATGCCCCAGCTCATTCATCACACCTGATCCAGGGTTTCCTGGCCACACACGGCATTCTGCAGGTTCGCTAGGCTCTCTACTCCCCTGACATGGCTCCTTGTTATTTCTGGCTCTTCCTGAGATTGAAGACACTGCTAAAAGGCTCCCGTTTTGACGGCTGCGAGGACGTCATACAGAATGCGATGGTGCAGCTGCATGCCATTCCAAAAGAAGCCTTCCAGAATTGCTTCCAGCAATGGAAGGACTGCTGGGCTAAGTGTGTGGAGTCACAAGGGGCGTACTTTGAAGGGGATTAGGTATTGTAACCATTTTGTTTTCCCAGCTCAAGGTCAGATACTTTTTGGACAGAATAGTACATATGTGGAGGTATGACCTAGACTTTTTTCATGGTAGGTGTGATATTCACTTAGAAAATCTACAGAATTTGAATATTGTCTCTAATAAATGCCATAAGTTTTAATTTAAATGAAAATGTCATGTAGGTAACTACCACAATAATTAATGTAACAACTAAATTAGTTTCTGATGAATTACACATTTACTCATACAAGCATGCTAAGAGCCCTCAGCAGGCATGAATGACATACAAGGTATGACAATAAAATTCGCGAACTTCCCACTGTGTGCTTGCCATGGCAGCAGTGGACAGAAACCTCAGTATGTTTTGATGACGCTGGCATATCAGTGTTTAACATGTATGTTGTTGTTGATCTATGGCAGGCTCTTTCTGAGTGGCATCTATTATTATCTGATAATGCTGTGAAGAAAACAGCGGGTTGCAAGTGGGTGACACGTTTTGCTGACGGAAGAGAAAGTGTCACTGACAAAGAGATATCAGGATAGCCAACAACAAGCAGAACTGAAGAAAAGATTGCATAAGTTCATCAAATTGTGCCTGAAAATCAACTGACTGTCAGGAGCATAGCAGAGCAAGCGGACATTGAGAGAGAAACAGGAAAATCTTAACTGAAGATCTTGACATCATGACAGTGCAGTTGCTCACACGGCACTGTTTGCAAGGGAGTTTTTAGCTAGTAAATAAATAACTGTGCTAGAACACCCTCCCTATTCATAGGGTCTAGCTCCCACTGACTTTTATCTGTTCCCGAAGATAAATGTAGTATTGAAAGGAAGGCATTTTGATGCCATTAATGATGTCAGGATTATTATGATGGCAGCTCTGAAGGCCATTCCCAAAAGCATTTCCAAAATTGTTTTGAATGGCGGACTAGGCTCTGGCATCAGTGCATGGCTTCCCAAGGGGAGTACTTTGAAGGCAACCACAGTGATATTTAGTGGCGAGGTATGCAGCATTTTTACATCGATGAGTTCGCGAACTTTATTGTCAGACCATGTATGTATTACATGTGTAATGGGGCTTGGTCTGATCTATTAAATTGCAGTTATATATAAAAAGAAAAGTAAAGCCATCCCTTTAACAAGGTCTGAAGACCCATGGGGTTGTTTGATGTTGAGACTCCTAGACGATTGGCTCATAGGTGGCAGTCAGGTTGTCAGCCTTATGCACTGGCCACTCTATCCCCTGGAAGATTGTTGGTCTCATTTCTATTAGAGGCTGAATCGACCCTGGGGCCATAGTATGGTTGGAAGATTAGGTCAATTGGTAATCCAATTACCTCTTCGGGAATCAAACCCACTACCTTCTGGTTTGTAGCATAGTGCCTAACCAACTATGCTACCACATGCCCCACTTGTATATAATTGAACATTATATTAGGATCTTTATGGCATTGGCATGTTTATAGTCAATGTGTATGGTTCCAGTTCTTCAGAGTATGTTCATTTAAAATTTTATGGTTCCTTAGTTCCTTGTTCTTCATCTCATATAACAAAAAGTTTTGCCACATTTCTATTTCCTTTGTAGCGATGATAAGCCCTGTAAGAACCACATCATTTCATTCTCTGGCTTTGAAGGAGAGGAAAGGGCTCGAGTTCGGTTCATGATTGAAGCAACTGGAGCAAAATGTACCAACTATTTCACAAAACATAACTATATACTGGTTTGTCGCAGGTGAGTGACTTTACGTATTTGGTGTGGAATAGTCTTGTAATAAGTGCATAATGTTCCTTCATTGGCAAGTTGTGTGGTGTAGAATAGCTAGATAGGCTGTGAAGAAATTTATTACTGGGTATTTATATTGCAGTTAACTCATTTGGTGTAGTAGAGTCCTTGAGAAGTTTATAGTTACTCAGTTTGTGAAGAATTTGTTATGGAACCCAAAGGTTTATCTTTATGTTCACACGATTTCATCATTGGAGCCTATCATTTTAATAATCTCTCCAGATGGTTCTTGAAGTTACTGCTATCAAACCCAAAGCTTAGGTACATTTTCTGTGGTCACCTTGTTGCTTTACATTGTACAGAAAGAGAACAACAAAAGTTGCATATTTTTCAAAGCTCTTTTACCACACATACAGGGAACATTTTTAGTAACTAGACTTGTTCATGGCTCTGCACTTCACTGCTACTGGTACATCACCAGCTGTGAAGCGCACACAATTTTTGGCGATAACTCAGCGTGCTTGATGGCCGATAACATTTATATTGAAGGAAAATAATTAACTTGTAGACCTCTATGCATTATTATGTTAACAGTGGGCAGTGCGGTTCATTTATGGGAGTTTGCGACCAGTAGGTGGTAGTTATCAGCGCTATGAGCCATTTGTTCCTGGTTAATGGTTAGTCAACAGTGTGGTATGACATGGTTCACTGTACTTATGAGCAACGCATATTTCTGTATGACACCTATGTGAAATACAGATCTGCTGGAAATAAATTTCATAAATTTCATGATGAAAGAGTTCCCATCAGACAAACAATTCATAATTTGGTGAGTAAACTTAGAACAATGGGACTCTTAATAAACAAGAAAACAAAACATAAGCATGAAGTGCTTACTGAGGAGAAGTTGGATGACATAGGGGCCGCTCTTGAACATACACCTAGAAAATCACTGAAATATCTAGCTCAAGAGACTGGAGTGTCAAACTAGTGCAAGGATACCAAATTATGTACGGGTTATTCTCGGGCAGGTCTTTCCAGAGTTAACAGGAGAAGGAAGAGTCTGTAGCTGGTTTCAGTAAGACTCAGCTACTGCCCAAACTGCACGTGTCTGTGCAGGCTTTGTCCAATGTGCTTGGGGACAGAATTATCAGCAGTGGTATTTGGCTAGCACGTTCACCTTGTGATTGTTTCTTCTGGGGTATGTGAAGGACAGAGTTTATAGCAATAGCCCTCGAATGGAAGAACTGAACTGAAAGAAGATATTCATAGGGAAATTTAAAATATTCCTGCAGAGCATCATCAGAAGGTAAATCAAAACCTCTTCTGCTGGTGTGAGGAATGTTCGTGTTTAGAGGGACAGCTTTTTCAACACCTCCTGTGATTTGTGAACGAAGGTAAGAACTTCCCTTCATTCCAAATGTTATCGACATGCTGAGTCATCAGCAAAATTCTTGTACGCTTTGTAGCTGGCAGTGCAGTTTCTGTGAGGCGCAGAGCCGTGAACGTATTGATTTCATTAAAAAAACACTGTATGTGTAGAGGTTTAGTGCTGCATCCATTTCTGAAGTTCGCATGTTCACCATATTGTTACTGTTGATGCTGCAAAATTAAAAAAATGTGAAAGTAGAGTGGCCTCTAGTTGCATGGTGTTTTTCCTGAATTTCATTAAATCTGTCAGTCCGAAAGTTATTAACCTTTAAATGCCAGGCTTTTGAAATGATGGTAAGCTTGAGCTGGCCGGAGTTTATTTAAATGCCCGCTGCTGGTGCGCATTTAAATGCATGTTGCTACTCTGCGTTTAAATGTCCATTCCTGTTAGGGCGCTTAAACAAATTTAAGCATTGTGTTTAAAAATACTGTCTAACCAATTTTTATGATAAATGGATGGAATTAACTTTGTTTATATCAGCAAAGAACATAGTGTCGCATATTACAACGGAAGATTTGAAAAATTGTATACAAAAAGTTGTATTCTATTTTCAATTTTTTTCTTTCAATTTTGATGCGTACTGCAAAATTGGTTTCCAAGTTCTTCACAGAGTTATTCTGCATTATAAATTCGTTTCTGTTTGTAACACTTGACAAATTTTAGAAGTCATAAAACAGATGGAAGCAATAAAATCATTTGGTCTTCTGCTAGCATTGCTTACACTCTTCAGGTTTTCAAATCTTTTGACTAAAGGACAGAAGAATGAAAGCATGGCTATTCACGAAATAGCTAGAGGGGTGCCTTCTTCAGTGCCAAGACCTTCTGTTATAGCTGTAAGCGATTATTGCCCTTTCTAGGGTCGTGAACAGACAGTTGCATTGTGGCTGAGATACAGAGTGCGATCTGTTTTCTGTGGGTTCATAGTGAAATCGAATACTGTAGTTTCATTTCAGCCTAGATATACATCAAGCAGATAACAACAAAAAAGGTATGTATATCCAATTTTACCATATATTTTTAACACGTTAATCTGCAGAATCTGCAATAAAAGTACTGGCTCATGGATAAGTTTGGGCATAACTCATACGTATACTCTTTTTGTTGTTGGTCACTTAGGTATCATTTTAATTCCACTGTTAGGGTTTTACTCAAGTCGATCTGTTAATTACTACATTTAAAAATAAATATTTAGGACTGTGCATGCGCTTCTACTAGTGGTGTGCGCGCGCACTTCCACTAGTGGAGTTTAAATGCCTGACTGGCCAAAACGGGGTACTTTGATAGTTACTCTTTCTTTACTGACATAATTTTATGTATGTTTGCCTTCTGTATTTGAAACACTTACACATCATCAGCAAACTCTGTCATGGAAAACAGTTAAAGGTTCATGATTACATCCTAGGCTTGAAGGTGCGAAGTACAAAAAGGCACGTGAATGGAACAGGCCAGTTGTGAATGTCCAGTGGCTGAATGAAATCTTGTTTGGACACTACTCTTGCATTCAGCAGCCAGATATGCCAAAGTTCCAGCAGTTTAATTTGGGCAATCCATTTCGTATTGAGTATGCCCTGATTCCACACCTCATGGGTGAGTTGACTGATGTGCTAGTAAAGAAACTGTTACAGTTTGACAGTCTGTGCTACATAAGAATGTTACGAGTGGCTGACAAATATAACTTTGTTGAATTTGAGGTGTTCAGAATAGTGACTATGAAGAGAATTATCTTCTGGGATGTGATTCCATGTAGTCTGCTACCTGCCTGCTTGTTGCTTGCTCAGCTTACTCTGACCTGAAGATGGGCAGAATATTCCTCCAAACATTGGTAAATTTTCACCAGACTACATTGCATCACACAGCAGATAGGTCTCTTCAAATATCTTCACTTAAAATTTCTTTAGAATATAAATGATTTGGTACAAGGATTGTAAAGTGATACATTAAAAAAGCAACTACAATTCGTGTAAGATTTGAAGGTTTCACAGTAAATAAATATGTTAAAATCTTGTCAGTGTCAGTGTTGAGTTATAAACCAATGTTTCAGGTATCTTCTCCATCCTCCATCATCAGGGTCAGTATGTTGAATGACCATATGCTGCTGATATGTATACCAATGTGTTGAATCAGTGCCTCATCATGTTAATATCTTATGCAGCAGGAGGTCAGAATTAGATGGCGCATTCACCCATCTCACTCTGACTTATCATGTTGTTGCTTAACTTGGTGTTCTTATTGTCACTTGTTTTGTCTTCTTTGTAACATGCCCTTCCCTGCATTTTCCTTGGGATTTTCATGCTCCATGCACATTGAAGTGTACTAATATTGGAGGGAGTAGAAGTAACATTACATCCAATCCCAGCACCAGGTTATCAGGGCACATATATCAGGAAAACCTCAAGCAGACAAACACAGGGAGGAGGATTTTGCGAAGAAGACAAAACTGTTGACAACAGGCACACCAGGTTAAGCGACTGGCTTATATGTTAAAGTTGGATGGGTGACTGCACAATTTGATTCTTCCCTCTTGCTTCATAGTGTGCTAGTAGGGTGAGGCGCTGATTTGGCAGGTTGGTATATGCAATAGTCACATATGGGCATTCACAACATTGATCATCATTACTGAGATTGAGATGTCTGAACTGTTGGTTTTTAACACAACAGTGACATGGCTGGTTGCCTGAGAAGATTGTAGCACAAAGTAAAAGATGACATAAAATCCTAATGTGTAATTCATCCAAAATGCTGACACTCTGTTCTTATTTTTTGCTTTTCCTTGGGATGTTAGCTGCATGGAAGATGCCCATAAATATCACTCAGGAATCTTACGATAAGATTAAATCAACCCCGCCACCTCAACACCGAGCCAAACGACCTCGTCTTGACAAATCTGCTACTTCTGCTGGAGACTCAGACCAAGAGAATATGCTTGAAAATGTGGAAGTAACAAATCTTGATCCACCTTCAGATGACAAGAAACCAATGGTTTTATTTTCTTATGTTATCAAGCAGTCTGAATTAGCTAAGGTAGTTGTCTTTTGAACCCTATGGTCTACAGTAGTCTTTAGTTTAGATCAATTTATTAAGTTGCATGTGTAATACAGTATGGCCATCTTTCATGATGCCAGGATTTTTTGCAAGATAGGTCACTTCACTGTGTCCATTCTTTACACTAACAATATTTTAGTACATTTCATATTCATTTCATTTATACACACTCATTCTCACAGAATCACTCTCTGTTTTTCAGTTGCAGTTTTCAGTTTCTGTTGCAGTGTGTCTGATAATGAAAATAAGGTTTCCTTATATGCAGTTTAATTAGATGGCAGGCTTACACAAGGATACATAATGGTTCCTTATAGGTTTATGGCAGCAGTAGATTCATTATACTGCAATTACATTTCACAGTGTGCATTGTGTGATTCTGATATTGCTGCTTCTTTTGCATGTATGAAAAGTGCCCTGAGAAATTCATTCATCAGTAATCTGTCAAACGCCAGGTCCACAGTCTCTTCCAAAACAGTTCCTCCACTTAATGCGATCTAGAGCTTTCTCCTTCAAATGAGAATATCCTCTTCTGTCCCCAAGGTTATCCAGCATCTTCTTACGTCTTCTTCCTCGTCTTCTGGTCTCTTCTATCCACCCCTCTATCTTTCCTTCAATAACCTTTTAGAAGGCAGTTACTGCGTAAGATATGAGCAATCCAATTAGACTTCCGTTTTCTTATTTCATGTAGGATATTCCTCTGCTCACCGACTCTAAATAACACTTCTTCATTTCTCACATAATCGGCCCAACTGATCTTCTCCATCCTTCTCCAACACCACATTCCGAAGCTTTCCAGGTGTTTCTGATCTACTGCCCTAAGTGTCCAAGTTTCAGCCCCATACAAAGCCATGCTCCAAATGTAGAATTTCACTAGTTTCTTTCTCAAATTTAAGTCCAATTTGCTGGCAAAAAGATTCTTCTTCTTGCTAAATGCAGCGTTTGCCATGGCAATCCTAGATTTAATTTCACAAGTACACCTTCCATCATCTGTTAACAAGCTACCCAAATATTTAAAACATTTCACATTCTCCAGTTTTTGGTCTATCTTTATTGTGACTGGGNAACTCCCCTTCCAATCTTCACACTTCTTGTCTCCCCTCTGTCCAATCGCACTCTAACTTTCTGATCCATGTACAATTTACTAATCAATCTTCTTTCCCGCCAATCGATACCTGTTTCCTTTAGGATCTGCATTAATTTGGTCCAATTTACACGGTCAAATGCCTTCTGCCAGTCTAAAGCAAGCACACAGTTCTTCATCTATCTCCAAAGTTCATTCTGCTATAATTCTCATCATCCCTATTGCATCCCTGGTTCCTTTTCCTCTTCTAAATCCAAACTGATCCTCTCCAAGTATATCATCTATTTTCCTTTTAATTCTTCTTTTAAGGAACTTTGCTATTATCTTTGCTGTATGTGCAATAAGGCTTATTGTGCGATGGTTGCTACATTTTGTAGCTTTTGTCTTTTTCTTTAAGGCACCCGTAAAAAATAAGACAGTCACTGTAACTTCTCGATACTCTATGTTGCTAACGAAAGTTCTGAAGCAAGAAACTAGCTCATGTGAAAGGCATGGCATTAAATGAAGAAAGTAAATAATTTGTACAAACCATATGGGAACAGTGGATATTGTGATGGCCAAAGTGAATCATGTGTTATAGAAAAGTGCAGTTTACTAGTGCATTTGTAACATCTGTAGTATTCTTTGTTGTTTGTCAGATACTGAAATTCGTTTAGAGTTAGATTTCTTCAGATATGTGTCTAAAGCATGTTGCAGTATGAGACTTTTAATCAGTACAAAAGGTTTTTCTTGAAGAGTACAGATGACATTTGATAGTTCAGGTCTGTGTTTTATCTCATGCCGTTTTGGTAGTAGAAAAATAAAGGATGAGACATGATATAGGAGTTTTAGAACTGAGTAGATTTATGCCCATTTGGATTCACATTTCTTTAAAAATAAATACCTGCATATATTTGAACAGTTACTGTATATGAGGCCTGACAATAAAGTTCGCGAACTCACCACCTTGTGCTTGCTGTGGCAGCAGTGGACAGAAACCTCAGTATGGTTTGATGATGTTGACATACCAGGTTTACTATTTGGATGTACTGAAAGGGATGCATGAAAAAGTTAGGTGGGAATGACCCAAACTTTTGTCAACAACCCATGAAAATTCACTTGCTCAGACAGCACTCTCTGTGAGAGTTTTCGCTAGTAAACAAATAACTGTTCTGGGACATCCTCCCTATTCACTGGATCTGTCCCCCAGTGACTTTTTCCTGTTCCCAAAGATAAAGGAAATATTGAAAGGAAGGCATTTTGATGACATTAATGACATCAGGAGTAATGTAATGGCAGCTCTGAAGGCCATTTTACAAAAGCAGTTCCAAAATTATTTTGAAGGGTGGACTAGGCACTGGCATTGCTGCATAGCTTCCCAAGGGGAGTACTTTGAAGGTGACCACAGTGATATTCAGCAATGAGGTATGTAGCACTTTTACCATGATGAATTTGCAGACTTTATTGTCAGACCACGTATGTAATTCCTGGCTCTACTAATCACTGTAGAACATTTCAGGTTTATTTTGATGTGTTACAGGATGGTGTGAATACAGTTCTCATAGCTGTTAACATATGAGGCCCTCTTAACAGAGTTTCACTTAAAGTCAAAATGTAGATGTCCCATTCTTTAGGAGGTTAAGTTACTTATTCCATTGATTTTGCATGCTGTTACTTCTTAATGTAATTTTAAATATGACATTCTGCTTCCTAGAAAGTTAAGCAATTGGGTGGTGCAGTAGTGGACTCACATAAAGAAGCAACACACCTGGTAATGTCACAGGCTGTTCGAACCATCAAGCTTCTGTGTTGCCTCTCCACATGCCAGTATATTGTATCTGAAGCATGGGTCAGGGATAGTCATGCCCATAACAAGTTTCTAGGTAGGTTTTTAAAATTGTTGTTAGCATGATTGATGCCAGGCATGTTGCAGGATGTGTTTATTAACTGACTTGTTACTACTGCCAATGAAGTAACCCAGTATTTTGTATATTTGCTTGTATAATTGTTAGTTTCTCCATTGGATGGCTGCAGAAAGCAGTCAAGTTTTCAGAGTGTAAAGGAGTCCGTAGTATTGACCTGAAAGCAACTAGAATTTTATTTGTGACTCAGAATTGGAAAACATATGCACAGCATATCATCAAAATTCATAAGATTAAGAGTGCAGTATTCTGGATATGATGCATTGTAGTTTCCTTGCATGGAGACATCTTGTCTTGGAAGACTGTAATCTTAATTGTCACATCTGTGAGCACCATGAATCTCACAAATTCATAAGCTGCCTTCTAAGTAGAATAAATTATGTTGTACTGCAAGCAATTCAGATATTATACTAAATGTAGGAACAATGCTGGGAATGCTAACATTGCTCGCTTGGAAGTTTGGAATGATTTTTATGTGTTTATGAATTATGAAATAAGAGTGATCTGAATGGCAAACAACAGTGAATGATATTATGAATACATTTGTAATATTGAATGTTGATGTCAGTTTTTTTGGATATTAATAGTTGACTGAAACAAATCTAGGACATTTTGGTGTTGCCACCATATTATGTGGTTTATAGACTTTGAAAAGTATACAGTTGATAGAAATCCCGATGGGAAAACTCACAAGCAGACTGAGCTGACTGTGATACTGACCACTATCCTGTGGCTGCAGAAGTTAGGGAAAGACTGTAAGTGAGTAAATGAGCAGTGCACAGGTTTCATATAGAAGCTAAATGAGGTCGATAGTAGAGAACATTGGTGGGTTGAAATCCCAGATGCCTGAGGAAAACTTCAGTGATGATTTGGACATTAATAGGGCTTGGGAAAATATTAGAAAGAGCAGTAGGATCTAGGATATTATGAACTGAAGCAGCATAAATCATGGCATTTATGTGATGGTGGAACTTAATTGAACACCATTATCAAGGTGACATTTTTCTCCATTTGTTAGAAATCCAAACTTTTCTTCCAGACTGCATGCTGCTTTTTTCTAAGTAATTTCACATTCATGTACATAACTTTTAATGGATTCCTTAATGTGCTCTTAGGTTGTCAAATTTATTTCATCGTTTCTCTTTAAATTGAATTTTTATCACTTTTCTGGTTTTTTGACTCTCACTCTTGAATTATTTACTGAAATTTATTATTAGTGATTACTAAATTTTGTTGTATATAGTATATACTGTTTGTTACATAGGTAGGAGGCAAGTACATAACAGAAAAATGAATTTGTAGAAAATGCAATTATGAAACTAGTGAAACTATTTTATATTCATTGAATGAATTACTGCTGTTGTCTTCCAGATGAAAAACTATACAGTTTGAGTGATCATGAGTTTGAAAAGACGTTTGGCTGCCAAATTGCTAAGGTCCTGGAGAAACCTAGCAGAAGTGAATTATTTAAGGTATAGTAGTCTTTCCTTGCATATGTTTGCATGTGTGTAGTTGCATCATTGTTATGAAGATACACTGCTTCTTTGATGTAATGAGAATTTATACAAATTGTAAAAACATTCCTTATAAAGAGTACTCATAATATCCCAAAATGTTTGAAATACATAATTTCAAATCCCATTTCTAATTACATATATTGCTACAGTGGAATCCTAATTTAAGGTTTTCCCTCATTTTGTTTTCATTTTCTGTAGTTCCAGCAAAAGTTCCATATATGCAATCCAAATATTACCGTTTTGGTGTTCCTTGGATTAGGGTTTTACCTGCATTTGGCGGCTGAAAATTTAGTCCTACGTGAAGTCTGTACTGTGATTCAGTGTTTACATGAAACCTGGGCATTATAATTTGCCCTCCTCTGGTGTACACATGCCACTATTTGCTCAAGGTCAGATTCCACATTGTTTGCTGGCCAGGTAGGAATCAATACACATGGGTGTTCATTGAACTAGAGGGAAGGAGCTGTGCAGTGCTGCATCTCTTGTATCTTCTTGGAGGCTGTGTTAACAAATGTATGCTGCATATTGTTTGTGGCATCTATATACAAATCTGTCTTTAAACCTGGTAAATTTGTATTTAATTTAATTCTGTTAGCACCTTGTACTTGCATAATTTCTGTATTTTTGGAGATTTTTAAAATTGAATTAGTAATGATGAACAAGAGGAAGATGTGGACGACGAGTGACAAACTGGATGTGATTAGTGAAGTAAGTAGAATCCTCAACTCCCTCAATCCATATAAGGAAAATCATGCTGTCAAAACAAAATTATAGGTGAAGAATTTAAGTGTGGGGGCACAGGCCAAGAAAAGAATGAACCTGGATTAGCTGGAAAAGGGCTTGCTGGAATTGTTTCAACAGATGCATTCTGTATTTGTATTTATTTATTTTTTAATGATTTATGTAATCTATGTTTCTTTGTTCTTTTGTTATATTAAAGCAGATGTTTGATATGAATACCAAAATATAATTTTCTGTTTAAATTTCATATAACCTCTCAGTTAAGAGATTTCTCGATTTACAGTTCAAAAATCCTTTTCCCAAGACAAACCTTAATGGGAATTCCACTTGTATGGGACGAAGGTTTAAATAATGATGTATATATGACAGCATTTATCTTTTTAGCATATTCACAACAAAACTGCACACTCTGGCTTCAGTATGTTTGTCCATACATCTATCTGCATATAACAGACTGATACCTGCTAAATGGATTTTCACTAAGGGTCATCAGCACATTTCAGTTTTGATTAAAATTTGGCAGCCATAACAAACATATAAGATATAAAAGTTTGTGACGATGGTATATTGCTACAAATATTATGTTTTTGGACATTATCCATCGTCTTGTCTATTTTTAAAAAACCGTGTGTGTATAGCATCCCATGCGACTGCGGCAGATGTTACATTGGCGAAACAAGCAGACCCCTAGAAGTACGCATTAAGGAACACAGATATAACCTGACACAGGGTTTGCTGGAAAAATCAAAATTATCCCAACATGCATACGAGGAAGACCACAAAATTTGTTGGAATGAAGTGAAGGTCTTGCAGATCGAACCCAACACCACATACAGGAAATACAAGGAATCAGCCCACATGTCTCTGCTGGACCATCCGATCAGTCAACCCAGTGTGGATATCTCTCCCATTTGGACCCCTGTCATCACAGCAGAAGTCAAGAGACTACAGTGCCGTCAAGTGTAGTTGGAGTGGGTAACTATTTGTGTCATCTGTTGGCACCACAAGGGGTATTGCTTCTCTCCAGGTATGATTTCATTTGAGATACTTCTCTGGTGCAAGGCCTCATATGTTTGGAGTCTCAGTAGTTGAATATTTTCTTAGCTCTCACAGATGGTTTATATTGTGCTTGGTTTATGAACCCCTTCTGAAACTGGCATAGGTCCGGAGATAGGGGCTAGCTCTGTGTATTGGACCCAACTGAGATGGTTTTACCTGAGAGTGGGGACAGAATCCAGTTTCTGAATCGTTGTGTTTTGAAAAAGAAACAAGATTTTTTTAAAAAATAGACAAGACGATGGATAATGTCTAAAATCATAATACTTGTTGTAACAGACATATTTGCTTGCTCTGCTATACTCCTGACAGACAGCCGACGATCTTCATATGTAATTTGACAAACTTTTGCATTGTTTTCTTCAGTTCTGCTTGTTGCTGTCCGTCCTCTCTTCATCAATAACACTTTCTCTTCCCTCAGCAAAACATGTCAGCCACTTGTAAACTGCTGTTTTCTTCATAGCATTATCCCTATAAACTTTCACTAACATCTCTTTTATTTCACTTCCACTCTTGCTAAGTTTAACAAGAAATTTAATGTTCGTTCGTTGCTCTAATTCAGGCTCCAACATTCTTGCGAGAGCACACCAAAATACCCTCAGACAGTAATAGACGTCACTCAGAAAGAGACTGCCATTGATCAACAACAACACAGCTGTGAAATGCTTATATGCTGTCATCAGACCATACTGAACTTTCTGTCCACTGCTGCCACATCAAGCACATGGTGGCGAGTTTGCAAACTATATTGTCAGACCTCATAATCAGTAGCATTTAAGAAATATGTTTATAATAAATCTAGGTCAATCACTGCTACAGTTTTATTTCTAAAACTATTGATATTTTAACTTTGGGAGAGACACCATTTTGGTATTTTTTTTTAGAAGTGACCTTCCATTTCATTGGAAAGCCCTTTTCATTTTTATGTATAGTGAATAATTTGGAGGAAGATTATGGCATTATTTTAAATTTTATTGTCTTCTTTTATGACTCAGTGTTTGATATTTACCAGGGTAAAGTGTTCTACATAACGCCAGGTGTAATACCTAGCCCATCAGTTTTAGCAGATATCATCGAATGTGCTGGTGGTAAGGTAGAAAAACACAGACGTTCACTTAAATCTGTTCAAGAGATAAACCAGAAAGAATACAGCTATTTTGTAATCACTGTTGGAAATGATCTTCATCTTCTTAGAGACCTGATCAGAAATGAAATTGGTAAGTAGCTTGATGCTTAACATTTTTTACACAAAGTTCTGAGTACTGTCATGATTTGAAATTTTGGTATAACTGAAAGATGTTAAACACTGCTGTAATCTCATCTTTTATTATGGGCGTTTTCATTATCACAGACAGTACCTTCACACCTTTTATTGAAGCCTTGCTAAGTATCTTCTTCCTGTGGTTTGATAATTTACATTATTTATTGAATCATATTCAGTCTTTCAGTATTTTCCTTTCAGTTTCTCTCACACTGCTATAAATAGTGTGTTAGTTATAACTAAATGATCAACCAACCAACAAACTGAACTGACTGACCTACCGACTGGCCAGCCAACCAGCGAACTAACCAACTGACCCAGCGACCAGTTCACTCACTCCATGGGGCCAAGTCATTCTGTAGAAGGCAGCAGTTGCTCATCCACTTGAGAAATTCGCAACATTTTATGGAACCCGAAGGCCCATGAATGGTTCCCAGTGCCCAACACTGGCCGCTATCCTGAGCCAGAAGAATCCAGTCCACGCCCCTATTCTGTTGCTCTAAAATATGTTTCAACATTATCCTCCCATCTGTGTCTGGGTTTAAAAGTTAGAAAGCTCCTCGTATTTCAGTTTCACCAGCCTCCTATTATTTATCCTTCTTCAGTCTTATTCTCCTTAGCACCCTGTTCTCAGCTACCTCAGTCTGTGTTCTTCCCTTAATGTGAGAGACCACGTTTCACACCCATATAAAATTATAGGCAAAATTATAGTTTTGTATATTTTAATCTTTACATTTTTAGGCAGCAGGCAAGGTGACAAAAGGTTCCGAACTGAATGGTATCAAGCATTACCCAAACTGCTTGTACATAATTATCTCATGAATCAAATTTTTATTTGATGTGAGTTAGTAAGGAAAAATGGAACAGGCAAGGTCTGTTTTCCTTTCATACCTTGAGAATAATGATTGTTTGAAAGTTTCATTTATTTTGCACGAGATACTAATGTGGATATTTTCATTCATATCTTTATTTTCTTGATAAGATAAACTGTGTCATTCTTAATTTGTTCCAGTATTTGGTAGTCATTACATGTTCTGCTTCTGGTTCTTTTCCTCGAAGTACTGTAATTATAGTTTTTGATGTATTTATCTCCATGAATATTTTGAAGCAGTAATGTTGAAATTTTGTTCTGAATATTGTAGATCACTTTTGGAATCACTACCTGATCATCTGTGCTGATAGAATATGCTTGAAAATTGTTTCAGAAACCTGTTCCGTGGTCCTCCTCATGTGTCCAGTTATCATTAGTAGGCTCTGCGGCCCATCCAGCTTCCTATCCAAGAAAACTGGGAGCTGTTTCCCTTTGGGGTATAGCATCCAGAGCATGAGAGTTACCACTTACCTCCATCTAGTGCTGAAATTAATCTGTACCTTCACCCCCCCATAAGTCTTCATCTGATGGTGCTTAATTAAGCACAAGTTCATCTTAAACCTCATTATGTAAGGTTTTGTCATGTGTAAAAACACTTCTGGTTCAGTTATTAGTTTCTTACAGTCTGGCATTGCTGCAATAATAATGTTGTATTGTTTTTCTTTCAGGTGTGTTCAATGCTGAATTTGTAATGAGTTCAGTGATGAGGCAGGAAATCAATTATGGAGCAAAAATACCTTAGAAAATGTGTAAACCATTTTTCTTTAAGACAGTAGAGCAGTGGTTCGCAAACCTTTTTTTTTTGGCCGTCACCCCCTTGTTTCCATAAATTCATCCCCAGTGCCCCCTGGCCTGCCCTGTAAAAGGCATTCTTCAGAATAGTGGTTTGCACAACCCGGTAAGGAAGATATGAGTAATAAATTTAAAATAAGATACTACATTTAGCAGCTACTTTGCTGTTAATAAATTCTTAATGTGTTGAATGGGCAGTGTCTGGTCTGAATTGTAAATAAGGGAAACTTTGTAAGTTTTGAGGTTTTCACGGCGATGACAATGAAGAAAGTCGTCTTCTGGGTTTAGGCACCGTGTATTCTTCGTTTTGGCCGACGTTTCGGCGCTACGTTCCTCCGAAACGTCGGCCAAAACGAAGAATACACGGTGCCTAAACCCAGAAGACGACTTTCTTCAAGGGAACAACTTGCTTGGAGGGGCCCACCGGCAGTGCCCCCTTGCCACCCTTTTGACTTTGATATTTTCCTTTCCTGTATTAAACACAAATTAAATGTGTTGGTGAAGTGGACATTATTATAAAATAATAATGGCAGCTTTAAATTTGCAATATTGGGAACTTGGTATGATCAATTGAACCAGTGTAGGTGTGATGTTTCACTGACAGAAGAAAAAAGATAGGGAAGCAAGAAAGATTTTCATGATGCTCTTATGGTTCAAGTACTGTAGTGTTTATGTGCTGTGAGGTTTGTACAGACTTTACCTTGAGACAGCTGTCATATAGTGGGGAAGTGGTACTTGCATCAGATTTGAAGAAGCTAATTAGTTTTGCTTCGTGGTTATATAAGTGTTCATAAAATTAATAGAATTGTGCCTTCTATTCTTTGTTTTATGCTCCTTCCTTCTGCAAGTACATAAGGTTTCTAAGCATTTGCTCTTTCACTTGCATATGTTACGGTAATAAACAAATTCGTATTTATGTGCTAAGATTCCAACTGAAAGAATTAATAAGCTAACAGAAGCAGTGGTATTGGAACAATGACATTGATCCAGAAAAAGTTTGTCTTGTATAGACTGTATTTTTGCTATGGCACAACTGACTGAAAAAACAGAGAGTGACTGTATTGATATTCATAGCTTTTATTGATTATACAAAAGACTTTGACAGGGTTAATTGAAATAAACTATAGAAAGTAATGGAAGAAAAGGGCTCTTGAAAGCATCTTATAAACACCATAGAAAGCTTATGTGTGTGGATACCGCAATACAAATAGAAAGTGTGGAAATTATGAGCAAAGACCTGGTAACAGTTAACCTCAGGGTAAAAGAAGAAAACACTCTGTCACACTTTTCAAAGTTTATGTTTTTGACATAGCAAAATAATGGCAAAGTGCATTAAAATTAACTGCTTTAAAATGTTGTTTCGGTACCAGTTTCCTTATATGTGTACGACCAGATAATAATAACAGTCAGAAGATTTTCTATTAAAAGGGATATTTGACTTGTTCAAGAATGCAGGAGAATGTAATGAGGTAGTATCAAGTCCAAAGACAAAGACTGTGGCATTGCAAGGTAAGTCACCAACAAGAACAAAGTTTTTGCTGAATAGCAAGCCAATTGGACAAGTCAGTATGTTTACATACCTGGAGTACTGTACAAATCTTAACTCTCTTAATGATTTTAACATGAAATTAAGCAGTTTCTAGTATTGTGGCACAATTAAGAGAATGCAAGGTTAGAAAACAACTGATATTATCTTGAAATTTTATAAAGTAATGGCAGTACCTGCCGCATTGAATGGATCATAGTGCTGGACCCCAAATAAGAGGGAAGCAAAATTGGGGCAGGGAAATGATGTTCCTAAGGGCTGTTGCAGGTTACAGGAGAACATGTGAGACATTCAGACAAGAACCAAATCTGTTCATAATCCTAGACAAAATACAGAGTTTTGAAATGAGACAGAAACATGTTGCAGTGGGTTTGTGGCATGCAGCGCTGACTCTCTGATTGAATAGATTTTATTACTGACTACTATAAACAGGTGACACAACCATACTGGAATTGGCCTCATTTTATCTTGAAGCATGTACCACAACATGTAAACAAGTTTTGCAACACATTCTGAGGATTTGAAGCAAGTGATTGACCACTATCAGCACACCACACACTATGTAATAGCAATTGTTGAATGGCATGATGAAGTCCCATTTTGTATAATATTTTTAGTGGTTAATTACAAATAAATTGTAATAAAAACAGTCATCAGAAAAAATAAATACACGAACAAGTGCTGAGCTCTTATCTTTTGAGATGCAAGCCTTATTTACATATCAGCATCTGATTGACTCCCTAGAAGATCAGTCCTTCATATTTTTTTTTGGAACTGGTATTTTGTTGCAGTCACAAATTTTAATCTGTGAAACAGAAGACAGCGTCACACTTTTGCTTCTCCTGCAGTAATTCTTGCAAGGGGCCAGAGCAATGCTGCAGTGATCAGGAAGTGAAATGTCATGTGACTGGAGAAACTGTATGCATTTCTGTTTATTTATTCAGTTGTTTCATTGTAACTACTATAGTACATTAAATCCTGCTAACTTAATTAGATCCATGGAGCTGAGTCCTTCAGAAGCCGCCAGTCACTCAGCTACTCAAGAACTTCCCAACATTTTATGGAATCTGAAGGCTCATTACCATGTTCACAAGAACCCGCCACTAGTCCCTATTCTGAACCAGGTGAATCCACACCATTCCACCTCATCCTCTTTCCCTAAGATCCATTTTAATATTGTCACACAGTGGCCTGTGACTATAGACAAGTTTTGAATTGATGACTGGATTTATTGGCCTGTTTAATACAGCACGTGACTACATTTTACAGTTCACTATTACACACATGCTAGTGTCCATAGTCTTGTTTTCACTACCTTTGCTTGGTAGCAGCTTCCAACAGCAGGCGTTCCACTTCCTCTGGGTTTCTGAACTGTCCCTGGCCTCAGCTACCAGCTTCTAACAGCAGTAGTTCACAATGACTGAACCCCAGCAGTCCTCTGACTGCAGCAGCTAACTGTTCCTGCTTATAACATCTCAGCATGGACTGTGTAGAAAACACCGTTCCTCTGTTGCAGTGAAATTGTTGTGTATCGATGGCTTGACATATTCCATTGTTGCATGCGCAGACATTGGCTTAGACTGTGCAGAAAACACCATTCCCTTATTTCTGTTTACAGGCTGCAGCCTAGTAATGGTCGGCTGATTTGACTGAACAATTCTTGCTTTTTTAGCGAATATGCCACATTACTCTTTCCTGAAGGCTGTTCATCCCGAGTAGCCTACAGGCTTAAACCCATTTCCTCTTGCCATGGCTGTGCTTGTCATGTCTGTGATGAGCCTTGCCTTCCTTCCCTGTGGCTCGATTCTCATGATGATTATGCCCAAATTGCTCCTGCTGCTCCCNCACAAAAACCATGCTTGTTCCAGCTCCCTTCCCCCCCCTCCCACACTACTGTTTTCACTTCTATACTTGCCCTTCCCCCCTTCCTTCTCTGCTCTCACATAGCTGTGTATATTTCCAACAGTCTGCTTTTACCAGTTCTCATGGTCTCTTCGCTTGCAGATTTCTTATATTTTTTCTTCTACCCTGAAGATGGAGGCGATACGTTCCTCCGAAACGTCGGTTAACACCACATATACACGGTGCCAAATCCCAGAAGACTGCTTTCTTCAACTATATTTTTGTTTGCCCTGCATTCTAGTGACAAGTCATCAACTTATGAATATACTTAGTTTTTGCTGTGTTTACTTCTAGAGCATTCTACTTACTAGTATCAATTAGAACTTCTGTGTTTTTCTATATAGTATTTATATTATCTCCCAATTGATCTACTTCATCAGCATAGACCAGAAGCTGTTGTGTCCCAATCAATTTCAGTCCCTCCTGGTTTTCTTGGTTCTTCCTGATCAATTATTCTGAAGGAAAGTTGAAAAGCAATAGCAATAAAGCATGTCCTATTTTAGATCATTTTGAATATGAAATGTATTAGACAAATGTTTGCCTGGACAGACTATACTAAATGTTCCATTAAAAAAAATTAATAAGCCTAATTTGTTTCATAGGTACCCCAAACCTGATGAGAATATTGTACAGTACTTTCCTCCTGTATGAATCATAGGCTTTCTTGAAATCTACATGTATGAATCACTGATGTACTGTTTCCTTGTACTCCCATTTTTTCTTCAGTATCTGGCCAATGCAAAAACTTTGATCAGTAGTTGATCTGATATGTCAAAACCAACACTGGTGGTCCCCCATAGTTTTGTCTACTCCCCCATATGTCTTCATGGCATATTGCTGAATTAGTTAAGCTCAGGGCAGCTTTACCTTTCAGCCATAGATGTGGCAATGACATACATAGGATTTGAGGTTCTCACATAGGTGGTTATGAAGAGTTCTGTCTTCTGTGATATAACATGTTTATTTCAGCATATGATTATCCTTTGAAACTGTATTTCATATAATCATTATTCACTTGATGAATGATTACATATGGTGTATGTTACATACATGAAAGCTGTGATATGCAAGGCATCAAATCATCTACCATATATGAGAGATTAATTTAATCAATGTGAGTGGTATGTTGTGACACTTTGTCAATGCTATTGATACACAATTCACAAGTTTATTTTTTTTTACAGAATCTTTTTATGAAGTTAAGTACATCAGCAACAGCAGGTACAACAGGTTGCTTAAGACAGAAATATGGATAATGGGAAGTTTACTTGTACAATCCACCAATCCAAATTGATTGATTGAAGGAGATATAACAGCTTCTTTTGCCTTGTGTTTCATTTGTCTCAATATAAATAGCAGGATTTTTAATATGGTTTGAAGAAGCTATTTTGTGTTATACCTCTCCATATAGATTCCACATATATACCTACAGTATATGCATATGGTTGACTTAGCAAGGCTGCTGTTGGAATGTAAGAGTTGGCATGTAATGTTGGTTTTGAGAGTTTTGGAAAGTGATGTGTCTACTCTATAAAAATGATTCCAGGAATATGATTAATATTGGTTGCACATGTTTTATCACTGGTGTTCCAAGATGTATGCTGTCAGAACTAGCACTGAACTGGAAAGAACTTCTAGAAACATAGAGTGTTTTTTTTTTTATTTAGATTTTGGAGGCTGTTATCTTGGACCATTAAATATTACATGTGGTAGCAATGTTTTTACAGCCTATTTATCATATTCCTGGCCATCTTGATCTGTCTAGACAAAAGCCAATATGCTGTAACAGAGAGCCTTTTGATGTATACTTCTCAGTATCAAATCCTTGCAATTTTTTCTACT